GCCTATTCGCTGGGGACTCCCGTCTACACCTGCTTTCCTCTGGGGGAGGGCAGAGGGCAGGGCGGGGCCAGACAGAGGGGAGAGGAGGTAGGAAGGGTTTGAGGGGAGTAAAGACAGAGTAGACTTGTCTTGTCTGTCATTCTTGTCTTGTCTGTTTTCTTGTCTTGTCTGTCATTCTCTAATGACAGAGGGAGCTGACCGGAGATCCTCATGTGCATGGGCATAGGGCCGCAGCAAAGCACGGAGGATGGGGGTTTTCTGGGGAGTACAACTAAGGAGCCACAGGGGAAGGCAACAAAGGCTATGGGCCATGGACCCTAAGGTACACAGACAAGGAAGTAAAGAAATGGAAAGGCAGAATAGCTGAGGACATGAAGGGATCTCTGGATGGGAGAGTGGGAGAGCCTGGAAAATGGGACCCTTCTGGGCAGCCCCGGGACAGAAAGCTGGGAGGCTGTGATTAGTTTCCATTTTAGGTGGTTGCAGGTGAGTGCTGAAGGGCCAGGGGAGTTTATTAAACATTTACTGAGCACCTACTGTATGCCCCGATGCTCTAAACTCTGGGGATACCGTGACTAACAAGGTAGAACATGGAGCTTTCATGGAGCTTGTACGTCAGGGAGGCTCACTGACTAAAGGTAATTCCAGGCAGGAGTATGTCCGTCAGAACATGGAAGCAGGGTCACGGCCTGGGCTGGTGGGGCATCACCGACGGGCTGAGGGAAGCCATCACCAGATGTCCAGTCCCGGGGTGAGAAGCTGAGCCAGGAGCTGGTGCTCAGTGGACACGGGGCAGTCCCGTCTGCTTTCTCTGCCAGCCCATAATGTCCTGCTCACCCCTCTAGCACCGTGCTTTGTGCGAAGTGAAGGCTCAGTGGATGCGGCAGCTGGTGGACGGACGGACCAACAAATGAGCTCTGTCCTAGGGGGTCGGCGACTGGTAAATACAGTCAGGGCCTCACTGTGGCCTGTGTTCTCTTGGCAGTTCCGAGTGCTTTTTGCCAACCTGGTGTCTCTGTTCTGGTACATGTACCTGGCCTCTCTGGGGAAGTGAAGATGACCCAAGCGAGCGCAGACACACTGCCCATGTGCATCTAGGGACCCACCTGCCTAGGGCGAGGGAGCAGAGACAACCAGTCAGGACTTGATCTGACTCCCGATCATGTGACAGAAGACGGAGAAACAGAAATCTTTTCATGTAAGAATCTTGTGCTTTAAAAAGGCAGAAACTGTCTTCAGGTGATGCTGCCTTAGTCATAAAATACAGTAGTTCTGACTTCATTTGTCACCTTGAATCAAATTACGATGACAATAAACTAAAACGCACCATTTTCCGTGGTGATTGTAATTTTTCAGAACAATTGTGTCACTTTGGTAGAAATGGGGGGCCAGAGGGCTGCCCTCAGACTTTTTTTTTTCACTTAAAAAAAAATTATGGTAAAACCTCTAATACTATTGCTTGCCTACGTGGAGACGTTGGAAAGGGGCCCTTCTAGAGCAGGACGTCACCCTGACGTTCGGAGGCTCTGTGAGGAGCATATAGCACCCTTTCCCCTGACTTTTCTCTGCTCTTACTGCTCTTTCGTTAACCCTCCTCCTCACCTTTTCTCACACTCCGTATCCTGTCCTTCTCTCATGGATACAATAGCCTTGGATCTTAATATTCTATTTTAAAACTTCTTTTATGTCCCATATGCTGTTTCTGTTTCCTCGGGGTTCATGGTTGTTTTTTGTTTTGTATTTCTCCATTTGTTTTGTTCTTTCTTTTTCCCAATCAGGATTTCCCCAAAGTCTGATTATACATCCGTTCTTTAAGAGTTGGAGTCACCAGGCAGTACTCTCACCGTGGGCTGACCGAGCAGGGACCCAGTTTTGTCAGAGATCACCCATTTTCAGTACTGAGGCCCTTTCCTCTTAGAATTCCCCAGAGAGGAATTCTTTAATTTCTTGCCCAGGGGAAGGGTCGTGGTTAGAGTGGAGGGCTGTGTAAGTCTAGTGGCCAGCATTCTTGCAGCTAACTGAAGGAAAGGGTTAGCAGTCCCGTTAGCACGCGAACTTCATCACGTCTGAGTAATCTCAGCTCTACTACTGCACCGTAGTCTCAGCCGTCCGGTGTCCAAGTCCAGAGTCCTTCTGGTTTAAATCCTCTGGAATGAAAGTCATCTTCCATGACGGAGGTGAGGTATTCACCTGAAGATACAGGTGATGGAGGGGGTGTAGAGGACAGCCTCTTACAGGTTTTTCAATTGGTCCTTCTTTGTTCAACCCCACACCCTTCCTCAGAGGTGGGGCTACTGCGTGTAACTCCCAGATTTTTCCAGACTCACTGGACTAACTAAGCTTACTTCTTGGTTTCCTACAATGCTGGCAACTGATATTCCATCTTCTCAGATCTAAAATGACCTGATTTCCAGCTTTCTAAATTTGTCAACTGATCTTTTTGTTTCTCCTTGTGGACTTGTCTTTTTTTCTTTCTTTCTTTAAAAATCTTTTTATGGGGCACTTGTGTGGCTCAGTCAGTTAAGTGTCTAACTCTTGATTTCAGCTCAGGTCTTCATCTTAGGGTCGTGAGTTCAACCCCTGTGTTGGGCTCCATGCTAGGTGTGGAGCCTACTTGAAAAAAAAAACTTTTTACTATCATTTTAGTAAGCAACCTTCTGGAAGAAGTAGGCAAAAATGTATGGGTTCAAGACACCATGTTTAAACAGAGATCAGAGTATTTCTGTATAACAGATTCGTTCTCCAAAATCCAGAGAGATTTTTAAAAATATAAGTCATATCATATCAACTCCTAACTTAAAAACCTACAAAGATGACCCAGCAGTTCCATTTCTGGGTGTATACCCCCCAAAACTGAAAGGGACTTGAGGTATTTGCACACCTATGTTCATAGCATTATTCACAGTAGCCAAAAGGTGGAAGCAACCCAAGTGTCCATTGATGGATGAATGGATAAACAAAATGTGTTGTATCCATAAAATGGAACATTATTCAGCCTTAAAAATGAAATTCTGACATATACTACATGATGAACTTTGAGGACACTATACGAAGTGAAATAAGCCAGTCCCCAAAGGACAAATACTGTGTGATTCTACTTACATGAGGTCCCTAGAATGGTCAAATTCATACAGACAGAAAAGGGAATGGTGGATGCCAGAGGGAGTCAGTGTTTAATAGGGACAGAGTCACTTTGGGAAGGTGAGAAGGTTCTGGAGATGGATGGTGGTGGTGGTGGTGGTGGTTACACAACAGTGTGAATGTATTTACTGCCACAGAACTATGTGCTTAAAATTGGTTAGGACGGGGCACCTGGGTGGCTCATTCAGTTAAGTGTCTGCTTTCAGGTCAGGTCATGATCCCAGGATTCTCAGATGGAGCCCTGCGTCGGTCTCCCTGCTCAGTGGGGAGCCTGCTTCTGCCTGTCCCTGTGCCTGCTGCTCCGTTTGTGCTCTTTCGGTCTTAAAAAAACAAAACAAAAAAATGGTTAAGATAGTGGGGCAGCACCTGGCTGGCTCAGTCAGTAAAACGTGGGACCCTTCAACTCAGGGTTTTAAGTTCGAGCCCAACCTGGGGTGTAGACAGTATTTATTTATTTTAAAAGATTTTATTTATTTATTTGACAGACAGAGATCACAAGTAGGCAGAGAGGCAGACAGAGAGAGAGAGAGAGAGAGGAGGAAGCAGGCTCCCCACTGAGCAGAGAGCCCGACGTGGGGCTCGATCCCAGGACCCCGGGATCATGACCTGAGCCAAAGGCAGAGGCCCAACCCACTGAGCCACCCAGGCGCCCTGAGAGTATTTAAAAATAAAAAAATTTAGGGGCCCCTGGGTGGCTCAGTGGGTTAAAGCCTCTGCCTTCGGCTCAGGTCATGATCCCAGAGTCCTGGGATCGAGCCCCACATCGGGCTCTCTGCTCAGCAGGGAGCCTGCTTCCCCCTCTCTCTCTGCCTGCCTCTCTGCCTGCTTGTGATCTCTGTCCGTCAAATAAATAAATAAATAAAATCTTTAAAAATAAATAATAAATAAGTTAATTAAATAAAATAATTTTAAAAACAAAGCAAAACAGTTAAGATAGTAAATTTTGTTATATGCATTTTACCACAGTTAAAGGAAACCTGCAGAGGTTTCTCAGTTCACTTAAACTAGAATCCTAAGTTCTATCCGCAAGGCTCCCTCCTCCACCTGCCCGCTCCTTGCAGCCTCAAGGTTGGGACTCCTTCCCGCGCCTCCGCAAGGAGTGGTCCCACCGCCGCCCTGACCCACCCATGATCTCACACACCCCGCAGCAGGCTCACACACCAGCACATGCACACTCCCCCCCCACCACACGGCGTGGTCACACACACACTCCCCGCGGCCCCATCTCTCTCACGCAGGCACGCCCCATGACCCGATCTCTCTCTCTCTCACACACGCCCCATGACCCCGTCTCTCTCTTGCACATGCCCCATGACACACACACACACGTCCATGGTCCTGTCTCACACACACGGCCCACAGCCCCGTCTCGCTCGCTCGCTCTCACACACACCCGCACGTCCAGTGGTCCTATCTCTCATACACACGTTCCCCCATGGCCCCATCTCGCACGCTCTCTCACACACGCCCCGCGCGCGGCCCCACCCATCTCTCTCCCTCACAAACACACACACACACACACACGCGCGCGCGCGCGCGCCCCGCGGCCCCGACTCCCCGCCCGCTCCTCCTCTGCCCACGTCCCCGCCGGCTCAGAGGCTCCCGCTGTGCCCCGGAAGGTGGGTCCACACGGGCAGCGCCGGGCAAACGGGTGGCGCCGCGCCAACGCTCGCTGCTCGAAGGCAGGCCTGACTTGCACCGGGGCCCTCAGCACAGGACCCGGGAAAAGGTCTCGGAGCCGTCGCCCACAAAGCCTCTTCCACTTCGCTCCCGAAAACTCTCTGCGACCGGCCCGGGCGTCCCCAGTCCCGCGCGCTCCGGGGGCCGGACTTCCGGCCCCGCGCGGTCCGCAGGACGGAAGCGGTACCTGAGGAATCCTGTCCCTCGCGGCGCGCCGTCCACCCGTGAGCGCCTGCGCAGGGCCGGCGCGGAACAGGCGGGCATGGCGTTCCGACAGGCGCTGCAGCTGGCGGCCTGCGGCCTGGCCGGAGGCTCGGCCGCCGTGCTCTTCTCGGCGGTGGCGGTGGGGAAGCCCCGCGCGGGCGGGGACGCGGAGCCGCGCGTGGTCGAGGCGCCGGCGTGGGCGGGGTCCGCGCGCCCCGGGCCGGGCGTCTGGGACCCTAACTGGGACAGGTGCGGGGGCCGCGGGTGGCGTCGGGCGCGCCAATCGTCAGCGGTGGGAACTCTCCCGCGCCCCTGCCGTTCCGTTCGATCCGATGTGGTCGGTTCTGCGGAGGGGCAGGCGGGGCAGGCTCGTGGGCGGATTTCTCCTCCGATGTGGCCGCGAGGCTGGCGGTGATCGGGGGCGCCCTCGACCCCTCTTCCGAACCCAGGCCGCCTCGCCTGTCCTTTGGGGGAAGGAGGACGCTGGTGCCTGGGACAGTGCCTGGCACGCGGGGCGGTCCGAGGTGGTCGCTTTCAGGCGGGGACAGAGGGTCGGACTTGCGTGTAGGCGGTCAGCCTGGTCTCCCTCGCTTTTGGGAGCGCTGGGATTGGAGGATGGCGCGCTGACCCCAGCCCTGCCTGACAGGGAGAGACGGGGGACGTGCGGCCGGCCGGAGGTGAGAGCCTGGCCCTTAAAGGGACCGCTTTGCAGGGAAGATGTGCAGGGACATGGCTAGACATCGTGATAGGAACGGGAACCTCCGGGTCTTGCTCAGTGCATGGCCGCAAGCCACATGTGCTTATTGAGCACTTGGGAAGTGGCACCTGGGATCAGGAAACAGTTTTTAGTATTATTTGATGTTGATGGATTTAAATTAAAAAAAAAAAAGTGCGGATTTTTAAATATTGTTTATGTGTTGCAGTGATAGTATTGTTGATGCGTTGGATTAAATAAAGTGAGTTTTTGAAATTTTACCTGTTCCTTTCTAGTTTTTAAATATGGCTTCTTAGAAATTTTGAAGTCCATAGGTCGCTGGTATGTTTCTATTGGACAGCACTGCTCTGGAGTCTGGGAGTGGCCCTTGTGCGATGGTTTGCCAGGTCCCAGCTCCTCCTTCCTACTTACTCTGAGTGAGGGGCGCAGAACTAGTATTCACGGGCAGCCTAGTTGTATCAGGAACTTCATAGGTATTCTTTTTGTTTTTAAGATTTTAATTAGTTATTTGACAGAGCAAGAGAGCACAAGCAGGGGGAACAGTAGAGGGAGATGGAGAACCAGACTCCCCGCTGAGCAAGGAGCCCCATGTGGGGCTCAATCCCAGGACCCTGGGATGGGGACCTGAGCCGAAGGCAGACGTGTAACCATCTGAGCCACCCAGAGGCCCCTGGTATTCTTTCTTTTAAATCTTAAAAAAAAAAAAAAAATCCTGGGGTGCCTGGGTGGCTCCGTGGGTTAAGCCTCTGCCTTCGGCTCAGGTCATGATCTCAGGGTCCTGGGATTGAGCCCCGCATCGGGCTCTCTGCTCAGCAGGGATCCTGCTTCCTCCTCTTTCTCTGCCTGCTTCTCTGCCTACTTGTGATCTCTTTCTGTCAAATAAATAAATAAAATCTTCTAAAAAAAATCTTACGATAGTTTTAGATTTATGGGAAAATTGTAAAGATGAGAGTTCTTACATACTCTACCCCTGATTTACTCTGCTACTAACGTCTCATAATGCTAGTACAGTGTATTCTTCACAATCGGTGAACTGATACCTGTATGTTATTATTGATTGATATTCACACTTTTTTGAGATTTCTTCCGTTTTCAGCTATTGTCTGTTGTCTCTTCCAGGATCCCGCATGACAGTTAGTCATGTGTCCTCAGGCTTCTCTTGGGTGTGACAGTTTCTCAGACTTTCCTTGTTTTGATGACCTTGACATGTTGAGGAGTGGCACTCAGGAATTTTATAGTATGCCCCTCAGTTAGGATTTGTCTGTTTTTCTCATGATTTGACCAGGGTCATACTCTCTTTTTCAAACATCAGTACAGTCTTCTAAATTTCCTCGGTTTTTGGTGTTTTTGTTTTTGTTTTAAGATTTTATTTATTTATTTGAGAGAGGAGAAGCAGACTCCCTGTGGAGCTGGGAGCCCTATTCGGGACTCAATCCTGGTACTCTGGGATCATGACCTGAGCCGAAGGCAGCCGCTCAACCGACTGAGCCACCCAGGCACCTCGTTTTTTTTTTGTTGTTTTTTTTTAAGGAAATAGATTCATTCTGAGATTAAAGGACGTACTTGAAGTAGCACTGGACTCTAGCTTTATTGGTTGCAGCCAACACACTGTATTTGCTCACCAAGACTAGGTTTATGAAGGGGGAGGCTGTCCGTGCTGGAAAGTTCCAGAGCCTTTTCGTGGAAAACCTCATCGAGTCTGGGCTCCCTGTGTCTGTGCCCGTAGTGCCCTGGGCTCCAGTGTGGCATCTCAGCCTGTGTTAGGACACCCCAGGCTCGCCCAGCAGGACCCCTGAGTTGCCACTGTTCCCTTGAGGACACTCTTTCCCTAGTTCTGCCCATTCCACAGACCGTTAGCTTTTATTAATTTCAGTTCTGGGAGCTACCAGACATGCCTGTCTTCATAAGATCTGGCCGTTTCTCAGCATCGTGGCTGCTGGTGCCCCTCGCCCTCACCCCCCACCGTCCCCTCAGCTCTTCAACCTTCCAGGAGTGCCATCCAGTAGACTTTTCATGATAAGGGGAATGTTCTCTTCCTTGCTGTCCAGTGTGGTCGCCACTATCCCATGTGCTACTGAACCATTTCAGATGTGCTTAGTGTGACCAGGGAAATAGAGTCAGATTTTTAATTTTCATTATTTTGAATTTAAGTAGCCACATGGCCAGTGGCTGACATTGGACAGAACAGTTGCAGACTCTGCATCGGCGAGGCCGTACTGGCCTCGTGGGTCCTCCCCCAGCCACCCCTTCCTGTTACCTGGTTTCGTTTTCAGCACATCACTTACCACCAGGTCTTTTAATCAGTCTCCTCACTAGAACACAAGCTGCACGAGGGCCTCGCTGCTCTGTCTCGTTCACGGTCTGCTCACCCAGAACAGGCCTGGCACTCAGCTCTGTGTGGTAAATGGGATGTGGTCCGAGAGGATGCACTCTCCGGGGCCAGCGGCAGAGAGCAGAGTGCAAAGGGCAGGTTTTGTCCCTGCACTTTCCCAGGATGGAAATACTGTCTTGTCAGAAATACTCAAGGCTGACTTGTGAGCGGGATCACAAGGACACGCCTCTCCTATTTCAACATTAGGCGAGAACCACTGTCCCTGGTCAACCTGCGGAAGAGGAACCTGGACTCTGGAGAAGAAGAACTGGCGTCCAGGCTGGACCACTGCAAAGCCAAGGCCACACGACACATCTTCCTCATCAGGCACTCCCAGTACCACGTGGATGCCTCCCTGGAAAAGGACCGCACTCTGACGCCCCTGGGTACGTGCTGGGGCTCAAGCCCCAACTGACACCCATCCTGGTGGCGCTGGGCCCCTTTGGACCTGGGTCAGGAGCTTGGCCGAGATTCAAGAATTGTCATTAACAATAGGTCATCAGCCTAACTGACATGAGACAGGCACGGGAAACATCCTCAACTTTCAAAAACAGATGGTGGCTCTCACGATCAGATCCGAAGCCCGGCAGAGGCGTTCCTTGCTCACGCCCTGCTGGTGGCACGCCATGTGCACCCCGTTTTGCTTGACCTAACTTGTTGCCGAAGATCCTTCTGGCCAGCACTTGCAGATCTCCTTACAGCCGGCTTCCTGATGGTAGAGACCGGGTGGCGGCGGCTCCGGCATCTCCCGGCGGAAGTGCTACTCATTGCCGAGTCTTGCCGCCTGCGTGGTGCTGCCCGGCGTGCCCGCCGGCCGCAGTCTCTGTGCCCACGTGCAGGCGTTATCTTCCCAGGAGAGGAAGCGCAGGGCGGGCCGAGATAGAGTTTAAATTTGTAAAGATTCCTGTTGTGTCCGTACTGAAAACCCAGGTCGAAAGCGTTTGGCGGCCTGTTCTGCAGCTTGTCGGGCGTTCCCAGTGCCCTGGGTGCCGAGTGCACGTGTGAGCAGCGCAGCCTCGTCCACGGCACTCCCGCATGCGGCTGGCACTAACTGGCCCAGGGCATTGTCAACTAGATTCTAAGATCTATGTTTGAGAAAAAGGATTTGTGTTTGCACGAATCCATACTTAGTAACGTGGAGGCCGTTGGCATCTCTGATAATGGCATAGCTGGTGGGTCAGTGGTGCACTGCAACCCAATTTTAGGACAAAATTGCATAAAAGGGGCATGAGGGACCCAGAAATAGTAACAGGACCCTCCCCAGACTTCAGTCATCTTCAACCTTGGTCATTGTTTTAACATTTCTTCTCCGTGGGGCTGAAGGTAACTGCGTCATTGATTTTACCTGTTGAATGCCTGCCCATGCAGGAAGGTCCAAGCCCCAGGAGGGTCTGCCCACCTTGTACCCCAATCCTTTTTTTTTTCTTTAAAGATTTGATTGATTGATTGATTGATTTGACAGACAGAGATCACAAGTAGGCAGAGAGGCAGGCAGAGAGAGAGGAGGAAGCAGGCTCCCCGCCCAGCAGAGAGCCCGATGCGGGGCTCGATCCCAGGACCCTGACACCATGACCTGAGCTGAAGGTAGAGGCTTTAACCCACTGAGCCACCCAGTTGCCCCTTGTACCCCAATCCTAATGGTACTTGATAAGGACTGGAGTATTTGTGAAGTAAACAAAAGACGGACTCCAGCAACATGTAATTCTCCGGTGTTTTTCACCTTCAAGGTCGTGAACAGGCCGAACTAACCGGGCTCCGACTTGCAAGCCTGGGGTTGAAGTTTAATAAAATTGTCCATTCGTCCATGACCCGTGCGATAGAAACCACTGATATCATCAGCAAACACCTGCCAGGTGAGTGCCGGGCACCCCGGGGTCCCTGGGCGGCAGGACTGAGAACGGCAGAGGGCCCTGGGCGGCTTCTCCTGAAGGGGCAGCGCTGAGTCCCTGCTTCTGCCACAGGAGTCTGCAAGGTCAGCACAGACCTGCTGAGAGAGGGCGCCCCCATCGAGCCCGACCCTCCTGTGTCCCACTGGAAGCCGGAGGCTGTGGTAAAAATCCCCCTCCCCCGGGGAGCATCCCCCACTGCGGCCCCCTTGGCCCGCTTCCCCACCCCCCTCCACCCGCGGCCTGCACGCCGCCTCCGTACTTAAGGTTCCTTCCCCTGCCCCCAGCAGTATTACGAAGACGGAGCCCGGATCGAGGCCGCCTTCCGGAACTACATCCACCGGGCAGACGCTAAGCAGCAGGAGGACAGTTACGAGATCTTCATCTGCCACGCCAATGTCATCCGCTACATCGTGTGCCGGTGAGGGCGACCGAGGGCTCCCTGCCCCACCTTCCCTCCTGCCAGCCTGTGCGCCAGCTCATCTGCCCAGGAGGCCCCCATCAGCCTTCTGGCAAAACGTCCGTTCGCAGTTTTTCACCATGATGCCTGTTTGGTGGAATAGCACAGACGCAGCCCGCTGGTGCCAGCACGGTCTGGGGTGCCCGAAGCCAGTGGCACGGTCCGAGTGACGCTCGCGTGGTCACTTGGTCAAGGCCCTGGGCGCTGGACCTCAGCCACCGCACTGTCGTGTGTTCCCCCTCGGGGATTGGCGAGCGTCTGGGGAGACGGTGCAGATCCTCTCTCCCTCCAGTTTGTAGCAGCTGGATCTAGCCCGTCAGTGGGTCCCGCCGTGACAGAGGGTGCTTGGCTAATGATGGCTTTGCGTTTGCTTCATCCTGTCCTCATTCGTTAATTGAGGGTCTTCTGTGAGAGCTCACTTACTCTCCGCTCATTCGTCTACAGGATCACGGACTGGCGAATCTGTGTTTGGCACTGTGGGCTGTGACCCATCACCATGCTGGTCATTTCGCTGCTCTGGCTCCTGGGCCCCTGGAAGGAGGCTGCTGTGTCCTCTGGACCTACCTCACTTCCCGGCACTAACGCAGCTTCCAGAGCCCCCACGAGTGACACCTGCCCTGAGTTACAGACGTGGGCCAGGGGGCTGGAGGCAGCTGGCCCGCTGAGTGCTATGTATTTGACCGAAGCCCAGTACAAAATCTGGAAGGGCCGAGACCCCAGCCACCCTCTGGATCCATTAGGAAGCATGTGTCGGGCGTCTTAACAGCTGAGGGGTTTCCCCTTCCTGCGCGACATGTCTCTCAGTGGCAGGACAGGACACAGCCTGCTGGCTGGCCTGTGGCACTGTCCAAGTCCAGACTCAGGGTCCCTGCTCACTGGGCTTGACCCTTGGGCCTGGCGTCAGGGCTGGGGGCGGGGGGCACGCGCTTCCCCTCCAGGATCACGTGCACAGCCTCTGGTGAGAAGCCCAGGATATCCGAGGCGGGGTCTCGGGGAGCCAGGAGCCAGGCTTCTCAGGTGCTCACAGGGCTCTAGGCCAGGTGGAGTGGCTGCTGGGGAAGAGGCGTGGGCCTCGGACGGGGCTCCACACCCTCCAAATAAGCGCTCCCGGAAAGCCGACCTCAGTGCTCCTGCGCTCGGTGCACACTGTCCCGGTTTGCTGCTCTGGGCATCTTGCGTATGGCAACACCATGTTAGAACACACCCTGGGACAGGCTGACCTAAGCAGCCACTAGAAGGGACTCCCATGCTGAGAACACCAGAAGAGTTTGGGGACTTGGAGTAGAGGTGACCTGTGTGCCATAAAGGGCTAGAAGGAGCCAGAGCATCCCCGTCACGATACATGAGGATGCTCTGGAAATGGTGAGGGAGAGAAGACTTTAAAAAGCAGCATGAAGGTAGTTGTTCCCGAGATTGCAGGGTGAGCCGTGGGGATGCCCCTCGTCCATGTAGACATTTAGGGCACAAAGGACGTCTGATGACTTGGGGGAGCCGTAATGGTACTGGGCTTTTTGGCAAATACTGCGCCTAGAATGTGCGTCTGAGAGCAAGGAAAGGCTCTGGGGCCCCGTTCCTAGGGGAGAGTGGGTTGGGAGCGGGTCTGCTCCATCGCCCGGCCCGGCTGCCCTTGCCCCCTTTTGGTGACACTGGAAGTTCAACCCCATGCCCTTGTAAGAAGCTGGGGATTTCTGACCCACACGCTTGAGTTGGGTGGATCCCCTGACCCAAAGAGGGGCTGGGCCGCCACCGCGCCCCTTATTTGGATGGGATGGCATCAGCCCAGCAGCTCCTTTCTGAGAAAACCCTTGCTTGAAAACCTTACCTATATGGGTCCCAGCCCCAAGAAAGTCTGCTCCAAGTTCTTAACAGGGGTTGGGGACCGTTAGCGTTGTCCCAACCCCAGCCCGTTTTGGTGGCAGAGCCCCCTGTTCTAGCATGTTCTTTCTCTTCCCAGGGCGCTGCAGTTCCCTCCAGAAGGCTGGCTCCGCCTGTCACTCAACAATGGCAGCATTACCCACCTGGTGGTCCGGCCAGATGGCCGAGTGGCGCTCAGGACCCTTGGGGACACAGGGTTCATGCCTCCGGACAAGATCTCCCGCTCCTGAGGGCTGCCCGGAGGCCCTGCTCTCCTCAGTCCCCCCGTGGCTCCCGCGGGTGCTGCCGAGGACACGGCTCCTTCCCTGTCTTCCCTGCGCAGGCTGCTCGGCGCTCTTGCTGCACTTCTCCAGGAGGATGGTGAAAAAGTACCTAAGATGTGGCGTTTTGGTCTGTCCTTCCGGCCCAGGATGGAAAAGGGAATTGTTATGAGCTGATCGGCCTGATTTCTCTCTGGGGGTTTTCTGCCTTGTCTGCCAGGACGAGGCTTCACTCTTGCTGTCTGTGGGAACCACGGCTGGTCTGCACGGGTGTCTTCGCTCCTGACCACACTTGGCCACACGAGCCCCTCGAGGCTGCGAGGAGGAGGGGCTGCCAGCGCTTCCATTCAGAACTTGTCTACATTCTTCTCCTTTCTTGAGACCCTTTTATCACTTTAAATATTTGTCAACTATAGATTCTCCTCATCTGGGTTCTTGCTTTGATAACCCGTTTCTCAGTCCGGACTCCTGCACCTCTGGCACTTGTCGGGCCTCTCCCAGCGCCCCACAGTGAGGGAGGTGGCTGGGTGGTGATCGGACAGACGGCAGGGTGTCCTGTTCCAGTAAAACACTCGCCAGCTCCAACTTCGCCTCTGGCCGTTCCTCCTTCATGCTTACGGATTAAACTATTTAGATGTGATGTGTCCATCCCAAATACTCTGTTAACTTAGGAGAAACTACAATTTCTATGAAGTGGTTGTGAACATTTTCTGCAGTCAGTGAAACTAATTGGGACATTTGATCCATTCCTCTGTAACTTTGGAGATAACTGCAAATAAAAGTTTTATTTTACTGATTTTTCAAAGTCGTGATTGTAAATATTTTCAAGAAAATAGGAAGCCATGCTGTGCACCAGACAGCAGCCCCAGAGCTGCTGGGACGGTTGTGGCTACAGCAGCAGAAGGCTCTTTGCCTCGCTATTTTGTGGTCTCAGGGTTGATGGCTTCGCAGGGCGTCTGCCCACCAGGGGCTGAGGCCCAGACCCAGGACAGTGAGCCAGAAAAATGGTTTTCCACAGGCACCCGCCATGCACTTTCTAGAAACTGTTTTGACAAGCCAGGCGCTGTGCCAACTTCTCAAAGCACAGAAGTAACAGGCACTACACCTCTGACCTCAGGAGTGAAGGAGGCCCAGGAAAGCAAGGGCCACATGTCCCACTGAGCCTAAGACCTGGACCCTCGGACCCAAATGCCTGAAGGTGGAGGTGGCAGGTCCCCAACTCCCTTCCCTCAAGGGGTTTGCACAGTTGTCTCACTCTACCATCTTCAGATCTGCCTTTTTCTTTACTTTTTTTTTCTTTTGAGAGAAAACATGAAAGGGGTGAGGGGCAAAGGGAGAAGCAGACTCGCTGCTGAGCAGGGAGCCCGATGCAGGACTCGATCCCAGAACCCTGGGATCATGGCTGAGCTGAAGACAGTGGCTTAACGACTGAGCCACCCAGATCTGCCTTTACAGCAGCATTTCACTTGATGCCAAGACGCAGGGCAGCGTTCTGGAAACAAAGTGAGTCCACATGGGGGACGCAGCCAAGGAGCAAGAGCGGGCGCTGACCTGGGTCACAGGGGCCGGTACCGCCCGGTACCAAGACAGAGGCTCGTCTGAGGTGGGACAGATGACTGAAGACTGTGTCAGCAACAGTATCCTAAGTTTGGCCAAAAGGAAGCCTGCAAGTCAAGAACCTGTGTAACATGAGGGAACCGGAACTGACGACAGTGGGAACAGAGCAGCCAGTTCCTATTTGGTTGTGCTATTTATTCCAAAATATTTTCTTCTGAGACAGTCAGGAAAGGAACTAAGTGCTGTCTGCAAAACAGAAAATCCTTACAGGTTTTGTACACAAATGCAAAATGTCAGTGTCAGACAAGAAAAGTGCATGCCTTGAAGAGCCCAGCAAGGAGACCCAACTCAGGGCCATGGCGCAGTGAGCGATGACATCCGAAGTCACAGCCTGTCAAGGCGGTAATCCCACAGACCGCCGCTCCCTCTGAAAGCTGTGAAAGTTGCTGGAAACATCCCAGAATTAGTTGAGAGTATTTGTCTGTGGTCCCTGCTGTTCGGGTGAAGGTCTTCAGAAAGATGTGACTGCCGATTGACTGGTGAGCTCGTCACAGCCTCCCATCCCTGGATGTGCACTCTGCTCACCTGTCCCATCCCAGAGGCTGCTGCAAGGACACGGCCTTGAGATGGTGAGGTGGGGCTCAGCCAAGAAGGGCTTCCACGTAAACTCTCTGGATTAGGAGGAGGGTGGATGCAGGAATCTATTCATCTGGCCACCAAGACGAGCCTCATATGTAAAGCCTTCTGCTTACTAAACCTGCCACCTACTAAGGTGGAGTGGCCTGGCCCTTTCCTTAGTCCCTTTCTGCCCTTTGAATACAGGGACCAGGTTCAGCTCCAACCCGGGAGACTTCCAAAACGGCTACAAACTGACACCTGCCCCATAAGGTGAGAACTCATTCTATAACAGCCTGGTGGAGGCTATCCCCAGTCAATGACCAGGGGACTTTCCTGCGTCCCTTGTGCCTGGCACCAGAGCACCACCACTGTGGCAGAGGGGTCCCCATCACCTCTTTGGAACTAAAGTTACACGCCGGTTGTTAACATCACAGGAAAGGTTTTTCATTTCCGAGGGCAATTATGAAATTTGTGCTAGCTTAAATCAAAGTTCAAGTCTTTCAAGACCGTGTTAGGTATGAAAGGGGCCGCAAAACAGCATTCACCACTATCGGATTAACGTATTGTTTCATTACAACACTACCTAAGATTTTACTAAAAACAGCACTTTGCCTAGCTGCCCACAAGAACAGTTTTTCTGAAAGCTTAGAATTATTACCACATGGTTTTAATAATAATTTATTTCATTAAGTAGTTTAAAAATGTATTAACTGGGGCCAGGGCCACCTTATATAAACAAATGGACAAACAGGCAAAGATAACCTAAACCTTCAGAAAATAAGAACCATAGTCTGCAAAATTTGGACAGAAACACTTTTAATTTCCATCCTAATATTTACAACATATGCGTAACAGGATTTTACAGAAAACAGATCATTGCTGTGAATGGACTATCCGTATTCCAATTTCTTTTGAGAACAAAGATGCCTTTTGTAAATGCCACTGACTTTCAGAATAGAATGTATTTTTCTGTGTTATATCCAGATCATTACACAAGTGAAAACACCCTGTGTAACCATCTTTTAAGTTTTAAAATCCAAATCTTGATTCCAATATTCCTGACCTGTCTCTTGTTAGCAGATGAAAGAAATAAGCTTTTTTTTTTTTAAACACAAGTTCCAATTCAGAATTCTTATAAACAACAGCAACAAAATCTCACGCCTACTTAGTATCCCTATATATTCGCATAAAGCAAGTTTCAGGAGAATAAAAAATGATTTACAAAAGGCACTGGATTTAGCAAAAATTGGTAGAGTTTTCCATTTTGGATCAAACACTGGAAATATTCACAGAGCACCCCCAGTGCGCAAGCAGTCGTGTACGCCGGAGAGAAGTAACTCAGGTGTGGAGTTTTGGGCATCAATCACGGCAGTGGTTCTAAGATGACCCCCATGCTCCAGGCAGACCCCCAGAAGGTCATGGCCACAGGGAAGTTAAAATAAATGGAGCAAGGTTACTGACCGGGACACAAATCTCTAGTTTCTATCCTAAAATGCAACACTCTTTCATAAAGGAGATCTAGTGGAAGTGAATCTGGAAATATGCAATAAATTTCAAACCCGGAGAACTCGAAGATCACTTTATCGGCACAACCCTGCAACGAAACCAAGTGACTGGCAGCGCAGGTTCCTTAGAGCTGCTGCTCCGTCAAGTTCGGGGACCACTCCCAGGACTCCCATGGACCAGAGAATTTATTCCCAGAGAAAAGCTGGTTTTATCTTCTGGTCACTAGTTTAAATGTTTGTGATGAGCCAAACTTGCAAGTCTAAGTCATCTTCACGTTTGTCTGCCCCCAGACACGCACCTTATCAATTGGTCTAAGCCACTGGGACCAAGCGGCAGAACAAAAGATTTCTATCAGGAACGAAAAAGTCAGAGACCCGTCCCAGAAAAGGAAGATGGCACGAAATTCATCTTTGCTGTAAGAACAGGGGACTGGCAGCCCCGGCTCTGGCACTCACCCGGGCTTCTGGCACACACACGATGGGAACGGCGTCTTCCGCGTGCCCACGGTGAGCTCAAGTCCACACTGTTACACGCTGACGATTCTCAGAAAGTTTGTAACTGGATTTGCTTCCATCAACTTCTCCCCAAACCCCAGAAAACTAAATTTTATACAAAACATTTGCATTTTCTAAAAACCTTTTACTCTCAAAATGAGGACTAATAAATTAAGCAGAATATATTCTTTTTGGTAAGTTTTAGCAATAAACACTTTACCCTTCTTCCTTTAAAAACAAAGAAGAGAACGAGCCGCCCAGCAGCGTGCACTGGCCTTACAGGGCCGTGAGCTGCGCCAGGTGCGCCATTCTGCGAAGGTGGCTCCCACGCGCAGGGCTGTAGCGCCCGGGGCTGCCCAGGCCTGGGGAGTGGGGTGCGGGCCCAGGCTTCCCGGGGCTTCTCCCGGGGCTGCAGCTGTGGGCACAACCGACATCCGGCTGCCGAGACTCCAGCTTCCCCTTCAGCGCAGGGCTTGGCCAACTGAGGAAACCAGGAAAGCGCCGTCAGCGCCAACGGGGGCTACGGGCCCGTCCCAAGCCCTGGGGGACCACCCGGCTCCAGAACGGGTGCTGCAAACCTCAGGACCACGAGCCCCGAAGATTCACAGAACATATGACTTTCCATATGAGTCCCGTGTGGCCCCGACCACGGCTCCTGGCTGCTTCCAACCTGCTCCCCCACCGGGTCAGCAGCACCCTCCGCTTCCCACCT